AGGCCACATCATAAATAAATGAATCTTAATTATAAACCATTGTCGTTATATATAAATTTTAAAATGTTACAAACTATTATAGTGAGAAAAGTTATGAATCATTCTGATTTTATCACGAACCAATGTAGTAAAATTACAAAAGTATTTTTTCTTTCAGGAGGTATATTATAGCCTTTCCCTAACAATGAATTTTAAAAATATATAATTAACTCCACTTTGTCCATTAACTAGAATAAAGAAATATATAATCAATTAAGATAAATTGATTGATTACAAGATATTTTAAGGGTAAAATTCAGTTTAAGCTTTTTTGATAAATCCATTTTCTAAGAGTTTTATTCCATCCAATCCATATTCTTTTTGACTATTCCATTAGGTCCAATTTGAGATAAGAAGACCAAAATACCATTTTCATCTACTTATGTTCCATTTAGTTCACATTATTTTCTTATATTTCAATAAGTCATATGGGTGACATAATTACCAAAATACTCTTAATGTGAATGTTCACACCGTCAATATAAATGTTTATATCGTCAATGTGTAGGGGCCCGGCTCATGTCGATCCTCGTGGGTGCCCGAAAAAATTCGAGTCAGACCGGGCCGGCCCACAAGCCAAAAAAATAGGCCCGACCCGGCCCGTTGATAATATGAATATTCACACTGGCAAGTTAACATTCACATTGATAGGGGTGTAAAATTGGCCTGCGGCCCATGGGCGGCCCGAAACCAGCCCGTCGCCCGGGGCGGGCCCGGGCCAGCCCATTTACAATATGAATATTCACATTGACATATTAACATTAACATTAACATTGACAAGAGTGTAAAATTGGCCCATGACCCGTGGGCAGCCCGAAGCACGGTCCCGGGACGGGGTCAGGGCGGGTCCGGCCCAGTTTGTTGACAATATGAATATTCACATTGACAAGTTAAGATTCACATTGATAGGAGTGTAAAATTAGCCCGCGGCCTGTGGCCGGCCCGAAACCCGCCTGCGGCTCGTGGGCTGCCCTGGGCGGGCCCGGCCCTACCCGTTGATAATGCAAATATTCACATTGATATGTTAACATTCACATTGATAAGAGTATAAAATTAGCCCGTGCCCCGTGACTGCCCGAAACTAGCCCACGGCCTGTGGGCGGCCCGGGACGGGCCCGGCCCGGCCTATTGACAATGTGAATATTCACATTGACATATTAACATTAACATTAACATTGACAAGAGTGTAATATTGGCCCATGACCCGTGGGCAGCCCGAAGCCCGGGCCCGGGTGGGGGCGGGCCCGGCCCGGCCCGTTGACAATGTGAATATTCACATTGACATATTAACATTAACATTAACATTGACAAGAGTGTAATATTGGCCCATGACCCGTGGGCAGCCCGAAGCCCGGGCCCGGGTGGGGGCGGGCCCGGCCCGGCCCGTTGACAATGTGAATATTCACATTGACATATTAACATTAACATTAACATTGACAAGAGTGTAATATTGGCCCATGACCCGTGGGCAGCCCGAAGCCCGGGCCCGGGTGGGGGCGGGCCCGGCCCGGCCCGTTGACAATGTGAATATTCACATTGACATATTAACATTAACATTAACATTGACAAGAGTGTAATATTGGCCCATGACCCGTGGGCAGCCCGAAGCCCGGGCCCGGGTGGGGGCGGGCCCGGCCCGGCCCGTTGACAATGTGAATATTCACATTGACATATTAACATTAACATTAACATTGACAAGAGTGTAATATTGGCCCATGACCCGTGGGCAGCCCGAAGCCCGGGCCCGGGTGGGGGCGGGCCCGGCCCGGCCCGTTGACAATGTGAATATTCACATTGACATATTAACATTAACATTAACATTGACAAGAGTGTAATATTGGCCCATGACCCGTGGGCAGCCCGAAGCCCGGGCCCGGGTGGGGGCGGGCCCGGCCCGGCCCGTTGACAATGTGAATATTCACATTGACATATTAACATTAACATTAACATTGACAAGAGTGTAATATTGGCCCATGACCCGTGGGCAGCCCGAAGCCCGGGCCCGGGTGGGGGCGGGCCCGGCCCGGCCCGTTGACAATGTGAATATTCACATTGACATGTTAACATTAACATTGATAAGAGTGTAAAATTAGCCCGTGACCCGTGGGCAGCCCGAAGCCCGGCACCGGGTCGACGTGGGCCCAGCCCGTTGACAACGTGAATATTCACATAGACATGTTAACATTCACATTGATAAGAGTGTAAAATTGGCCCG